TAGACGTCATTAAAGCTAGTTAGAATCAGTTATAAAACATGGTACTTAGTACAAATAATCCTAGAGTGAATTCGTGTAGAGCGGTCAAATAGGTGAGTAAAGGGTCGACATGTATGTGAATAAGCGAACAATTACCGCGGCAAGTAAAGGGAAAGTGATTTTCAAAACACACCATATGTATAAATTCACAGAATGAAAGTGAAACGCAACAGAACGAAGGAACTACTAATAAACATAGCATATAAAGTGAAGAAACGTAACAATAGACAGAATAATATACGGGGAAAACCGATACATTACGATAATTAAATAAATTGAAATGTTACTTGCTCTGAGAAAATAAAACATATTATGCAGTGTGAAGACAACAATAATACAATAGTCTGAAAGACACAAATAACACAACAATATACATCAATTAAAGAATGGTTAGGGGGGAGAGGTGGGGAGTGAGGTGAGTGGTCACAGTGACCTCAGTGTGTAACTTCGTTGTGAGTTAAAACAATTATTAACAGTGAGAAATTTTGTAATATAGAATTAGTAGTTAAGAAAAGGCAACTTATATGTAAGGTGTGGGTGGGTTTAGGGAGGGCGAATAGTTAAACTGGCACTGAAGAGGTACACTTACTCTTAAAAGTAGCGAGAGAGTATTGGTGGTATAGGGTCGAAGTGTGATTTTATGGCTTGTGCTGACGAAGGTTCGCAAAGACTCGACGAGGTAGGTGAGTCAGTTAGCAAGAGTGGGTTGGGGAATTTATCTTCTGCGACTTCGTTGGGAGCGTAGCACAGGCGTGAGTTGTCAGCATGATTTTTGTGGTAGACATGGTGTGGGTGGCATGGATCTTGGTAGCGAGGAGACACTTCGGCAGGAGCTTCTTTTAGGAATGTTCGGCGTTGGGAGAGTCTTCCACCACTAAACCACCAGTTTGGATAAAGTTGGGGGCGTATGGGTGGTGGAGAATGAAAGGGGACTTGCTTGAGGAGTTTATTGGGGAGGTAAAGGTGTGGCCCCCCGAGAGTGACCTCGCGCCCAGAGTGCCGAGGCGAGGGGAGTGACCTCCTGCCCTGAGCCTGCTCTGCTAAGTCTTGGTCTGCCTCTGGTGCTCTCTCTCTCTCTGCCTGATGAGACGTCCTTATATCCAGCGACTCCTTGTCCTACTGGCGGAGGTGCCTGGTACCATATTCTTTGGGTGTCCATTCTTCCAGGCGTGATGAAGGGCTGAGTCGCCGCAAGAGAAAGTCTTGGGCTGGCAAGGAAGGTGTGAACAGCTGTTTCCTCTGGACTGAGAGAGGAAGGCACAGCTTCTGTTTTGACCTTGGGAGGACAGAAGTGTATTGTTGACATCACAAGACAGCATGTTCACATGACCTGCCCCATAAGCCAAATTTTATCATGACATGATAATCACATTTTATGGATTATAGAGTTGATAGATTCAGGAGTTTCTTTGTTTTATGATTTTCACAGATTTAGTATTTAATATTATTTTATATTCTCCATTTGACAGTTATAATAATACTAAAGATGTTTTTTTGTTTTTTGTTTTTTTATCACTGTCGCAGAAGTGCAAGGAGTTAAATATAACTTCTAGTTCTACATTTTTAGGGAAATCCACATGCACTATGTTTCATTATACAAAAAAAATGAATTTAATCATGTAAAAAAGACTATCAAATGCATTTAAAATCACAAGAAAAAATGGTTTTGTTAAAAAACAATATATGTCTAATAAGATCTTCAAAGCAAAGTCCCATCTAATATGCATATAACATCAATAGTCAGTGTCATCAAAATCAGTTGAAAACTCACCAGATGGTTCCCTTAAGTATAGAAAATATTCCTCTGATTTAATATGATAATTTGCATGATTTTTTAAAATTCTCACATAATTTTATTATGCACTTGTGAAGCTATTCCTTTTGAATGCAATGTAGTCTAGTCAAGTGATTTATCTTCATAAGAAAAGCAACATTGTTTGGATTGCTGGAGTGGCACAGTGTGGATTGCCAATGCCTTGGGCAACCCCCTAATTATTGATGTTAGTAAAGCAAGACACATATGTTATTATCTGCATTGTTTGATAAATTACCTTCTTATTTTTTATCTTTTTCTTTTTTTCTTCAAAAAGCACTACTGAAATCTAAATTGAAATCTCTCAGTATTACTGGGCAATGTTTATTTGCCTAGGGATGGTCTACTAATGTTTATGTTATTACTACTTTATTCTTTTCTTCAATTTTTGTGCCCCATAGAATTTAGGCCCAGAACCACACTGTGTCACTGGATCATTTGGTAATGAAGTAAGATTTACTGCTGATAGGGGGATATATAATTATTTTTTTGAACTGTAGTGTCTCTGATTCAAAGGAAAATAAATAATGCATATCTTCTATCAGTAATTTTATGTTGGGATACGAACAGGAAACACTAGGATTTTTTTATGTGTAGGTAAAGCATACACACCAAAATATGAGTGTAACAAGAAATAAGGAACATTCA